CTCCATCCACGACACTGGCTACTCCCAGTAAAGTTTCCTTTATTAGCAGGACACCCCCCATATATCTCGTGTTGGTGGAATCCGGTATGCGACTAAACAGTCATACGAATGACAGGAAGAATTTGTCAATCTAGACTTGGGCCACGGCTGTAGAATATAAGGTTGGTACACTAAGGGAAGTTTGGTAGAATAAAATTTGGGTGTCCTAAGCGGCTTTGGCGCGCATTAGATCGTTTCGCCATCTGTGAATTACGACTACACACTAACATCTTTATGAATGAAATTTTCCACTACTGCAATGGCAAATTGACAACTGACAGGCTGCCAAAACTGTCATTCTACTTCTAGTGGATGTATTATGATAGAAATTACTGTTTAAATTGGTTTAACGAGATCGCCAACTCAGAGAGGAACGTACATTTATACATAACAAACCTCGGCAACCGCAGGTTTGTTCGATATTTCTAGCACTATTGTTTCATGTAAACAATCATTAAACAAGCATGTGCGATGACCAGATGAACACAGATTCCTTCGAAAAACAAGTTGACGATGTACTGGTTAAGAACTTTTCGGTAATTGATTACATTAGCTACCGCGATTTTGCCGAATCCGCCCCCACAAAAACCTCATACAACACCCCTGATCACGTTCCTACCTAACCTTCAAATGTTGTACAAATATTTCTCAGAACATTTGAAGAGTAGGAACGCGATCAGGGCAGGGTCGTTGTATGAGGGTTCTGCAAAAACGGTTTCAGAGAAGTCGCATAGTAGCTAGTGTAAACAATGGTCAAAGACGCTTCCAAAAGATTGAACGTTTAACATAAAAATTATTATTAAATGCTTTGATTAAATGTCAAAGTTGTCATTTATGTCGGTATAATCGTGTCCTTTTGATGTGGCAAAAATTAATGCCTCTAAATACCGTAAGAGGGACCCATTTGAAAACGCGCGTCATGGCCAACTGGTACGGAAAGAAATTATTCCACCTACCGGAACGTGAATGAATGAAAGATACTCAACCTATCTATTCTACAGCCGTGACTTGGGCCGAACTCCGTTCTCGCCAACCGAATTCAAAAAAGCAAAATTAATGAAACAAGAGTACATTGTGGATCGAATTCCCCATCAAATAAATACATAGAACACATGTTCAATATGGTCAAAAACACAAAATATCTTTCGGTACCTACGTCGTTTTGAGGGGTACCATCGCTGGACAAAAAAAAACTAGGACACAATAGGTAACTAGATAATTATTATTTTGAAAATTCGAAATTTAAAACGTGTAAGTTGGGCTCTTCCTGCCAAAAATATTATTTATTAGGTTCGTGAAACATTTTCTCATGTTTTACTTATTGTTTCCAAGAAATTAGTCAGAAAGATAAAGGCGTAAACGAAGACGTAAAATTAGGAACATAATTTTATTCAAGAGAAAATAAAAACGGGAATTATAACTAGACTCATTATACTGAAGATGCCAATTCATCTGATCAGTATTTTGTCATTGCATCATTTGCATCGATCACATTCTGTAGTCGACGAGGCATGGAAGCAACTAACTGCCTCATATATCCAGGTGTTATAGTTTCCCATGCCTCGACAATTTTTTCTTGTAATTCTAGTGGATTTCTAGTTCGAAAATCATTTTGATAAATATATTTTTGCATTTCTCCCCACACATTTTCTATTACGTTTAAATCTGGGCTCCTAGAGGGCCAAGATTCCCTGGGCCTCCAAATATCGACTTAGCAGTCGGGCATTATGAACTGGACAGTTATCCTGCAATGGGTTTTATAATTATTAAAAAAAAATGAAAGGAAGAATAGCACAAACTTGTTGAAATATAAAGTTTCGTTCTCCAAAAACTGGTATTACTGAGGGGAGCATAATTTCCTCTAGAAGCCTTCTGTATACATTAGCATTTAATCTTTCTTCTACTATTGCGCAAATTCCACGTCCTCTGCTGCTAACCCACCCCCAAACATTAACGGAAAAACGACCGGATTGTTTATATTTATTGCAATAGCGTTCATCATATCCCGTTCCTGGGGGTCTATAGACACGACGACGCCCATTACTATGGGCCTGTCTAATTTTCAGACCACAGTTTATCTTGCAGACTGGGGGTTAAAAATACTGCAATCAAGTCAAAACTCGACATTTGCTTATTTCTCAATACGAAGATTGTTGATACAAAATGTCAACCCGTTCGGAAAAACCCTTAAAAACCACCCCCAAAGCAACCTTGCAGACTGGGGCTTAAAAATACTCCATCAAGTCAAAATTTTATATTCGCTAGTTTCTCAAAACGAAGATTATCGATTCAAAATTTCAGCCTATTCGAAGAAACCCTCCAAAAATGATACAAAATTTCAACCCGTGCAGAGAAATCGTTAAAAACTACCCCTAAAACAACCTTGCAGACTGGGGCTTAAAAATACTCCAATCAAGTCAAAATTTGATATTTGCTAGTTTCTCAATACGAAGATTGTCGATACAAAATTTCAGCCTATTCGAAAAAACCCTCAAAAATCACCCCCAAAACAACCTTGCAGACTGGGGGTTAAAAATGCTCCAATCAAGTCAAAACTCGATATTTCTTAATTTCTCAATACAAAGATTGTTGATACAAAATTTCAACCCGTGCAGAGAAATCGTTAAAAACTACCCCCAAAACAACCTTGCAGACTGGGGCTTAAAAATACTCCAATGAAGTCAAAATTTTATATTCGTTAGTCTCTCAATACGGGGATTATCGATACAAAATTTGAGCCTATTTGAAGAAACCCTCAAAAACTACCCTCAAAACAACCTCGTAGACCGGTTCTTAAAAATATTATTACCAAATCGAAACTTAATGCAAAAACAGCCTTTTTTAAGCTGCTCTTAATAAGTACCCCAAAACAATCTTTCATAATGGAGCTTAAAAATACTCCAATTGAGTAGAAACTTACCACTTCCTGAGTTCTTTACACAAAAAATTATCATGTTAAATTTTAGTCACCTTGAAGCAACTTTTAAAAATGATTGATAGTTCACATTCATTTAAAGTACAAGTAGCAGAAAAATTTTAGACACATATAAAGAGACAGTACATATTTCTAAAGTAGGTGCGCACCATAGAGGTAGAATGAGAGGAGGGAAGCCAGTTTGAAAAAATGCCTGGTACCGCGCTTTCTCCTAGGGTCATAAATGGTTCTTCCAGGTCCTCCGAGAAAATTGTTGTTCCAGTGGCGTGCTCGAAAGCGTTTGCGGGATACTAGACATAAAACAAAAATAATTTCATAAGAAAGCATATAAAAGCAGCAGCAGCAAATTTACTTGAGTATTTAATTGGTTAAGATTCGTTGCTACGGTCGTCGTGTTATCTCCACCTTCGCGCAAACCGAGCTAATTCCTACAACAACTGCGGCATCACCTAATGATCTTAATTAGCATTGTTAATTATGAAAAATATTGTTTTGTTACCTTTTATAACTTTATTTTAATGCATATACACTGACCGGCAAAAACCGGCCACCCTGAAAAATTTCGCAAAACCAAACTTTAAAAATTATTAATTTAACTAGTGATAGTTATTAAAGAACTATTCACTATTGATACATGATATATAAATTAGCAAAAAAAGAAGACAAATAAACACAGAATTAAATTTAATTTAACAAAATAATAGAAACAGAGCGACAATTTGAGAGACCGCAAAAGAGCTAAATGTTCAAAACATACAGCATCGCAGTTAGAGAGAATTCTCAGATGTTGCCGGCTATTGAGAATTTATCATTTTTTGGACAATCGTGTGGTTGTGCTGGGCGATGAAAAATATTGTACGTTTGCCTATTTAGAGATGGAAGGATGGATTTTATACAAACAATATAGAAGAAATTACAAATAAAATTAAGTCGAAGACAAAGTTTGAAGATAAAATTTTGGTTTGAAGGGCTATATTTTCGGCTGGCGGTTCAGCACCATTCATTGACCGTATTAGAAGTGACGCGGTCAATACATAACAATATATGGGAACACACCATAATAACGACGATGTATAATATTTTGGCCAGATTTAGCAAGATGCCATTATACTACAATATCCAGGGATTGGTTAGAAAGAAATAATATAAATTTTGTACCTAAGATAATCCCTCCATAGTGCCCCCCGTGGGAACAATCGAAAACAAAATTTGGGCAATACTAAGTAGAAAGGTTTACAACAACGGCTGGGGAGCCAATTTAGAAGAACAAATTACCAGAAAGTTAGAGAAATGGACGTGGACACTGTTGCGTGTGCTACAATGTCGTCGGTACGCCTATGTCTTTAGTACGCCTATGTCGTTGGTGTGCCAAAGAAATGTTGCAGCTGCAGGTCTGCAGCCACCCCTTTGACCCGGTTGACCCGTAAAAAATCATTGGGTTTCGATTCGGGGGCGACTTCTTATGTTACACCGACACAGTTGGTTTTTAAGTCAGTCGCTATTAAGTTTTGTCCGGAACATCTAGCACACGGGTGCGCTGATGTAATAATCAATTTTCAATAAAACTGTGTGCCATACACAATTGTTTATAATCTCCCCTCACCGCTACACACCATTTTGGTCCTTCGAGCCGGATTTTTATAAATTCCGGTAAAAAACAGTGGAAAGTAGTGACCAGTGAGCAGCAGGAGAAGAAACACAAAAAAAGGGAACGAACAGTTCTCGCAGCAGCACGGCAGCAGTGGTTCGTCAATTAAGTCACCACCCCGTGTCAACAATCTAAAAATCTCCGGAACCGACGCATACAACTCCGGTGAAATCATCCCGAGGATCCACAGCAGATCCCACTTCCCACATCGCCGTCGCCGAGGGCCCGAGACCTGCAGCACGAAGTAAGACGCCTGCGAGGAGTTCGGCCGCCAGTAGCACGGGAGTCAAAGGTCAGATCCCATTTTCCTTCATTCGTACGATTTCCGCCTCTGTTCAAGTACTTATTGTGTGTATTTCCACATAAATTAAAATTAAAATGGGCAAAAGGGTTAACAAATCGTCCAAAAGCAGAGATGCCGAATCCGATTCGAAAGGTGAAACAGCTAATTTATTAAGATCGTGGATAAATAAGCGCAACCAAATTGTTTCAGAGTTGGATCGAATTTTAGAATTTGTCAGGAATTTTCCGTCTGGCAGCAATATCGGTTTAATAATCGCGCGAAGACCAATCGCTCTTAACGCAATTAACGATTTCAAAGAAGTGCAATTTAAAATCGAGGAAAATGTTCCACCTGCATTGCTTGACGATGAGGTAGACCACCGGATTAATTTCGAGGCAAGATATTACGAAACTATAGCCGAAATTGATACGATTATTAAAAACGAAGGCAATTCGAAACATACTAATATAAACAATAATGAAAATCCAACTCCAAAAATAACGCTTCCGGCATTAAAGCTTCCGGAATTTAGCGGAGCTTATTCTGACTGGACTTCTTTCCGGGATACTTTCAAATCTGTTATACATGAGAATTCGTCTTTATCAAATATTGAGAAATTCCATTATTTGAGGTCCACCTTGAAGGGAGAAGCTTTTCGAGCCATCGAGTCGTTGTCCCCAGTAAATGCCAATTACGAAATCGCGTGGGATTTGTTAAACAAACGTTTTCAAAATAAGAGACTAATTGTACATGAGCATATAAAAAACATTTTAGATGCCCCAGCCGTCACAAGGGCTAATCAAGAAAATTTGAGACAATTGAGTGATTCATTATGCGCCAACATTGCAGCATTAAAAGTTTTTGAAATTCCGGTAGATCAATGGGATTCTATATTAACCACCATAATTGTCGATAAGCTTGATTACCAAACAAAGCGTGAATGGCAGTCAAAATTAACAGATGATATACCCAAATTAGCGGAATTATTTAAGTTAATAGATGCGCGGTGTCAAATTTTGGAAAGTACTGCCCATGTTAATGCAAATCCACGACCGAAACATTACAATATTAAGGGAACAGTCAGTCACTTCACAGCAAAAAGGACATGCTTAGTTTGTAAACGGCCTAATCACAATTTGTACTCATGCAATGAATTTTTAAAAATGTCATTAGAAGAACGCATAAAAAAGATAACGTCTCTAAAACTTTGCAATAATTGTTTAAAACCAAACCACATTTGTACCGAATGCAGATCAAATAGTTCATGTAAGTATTGTAAACAAAAACATAATAGCTTATTACATAGGATGGAGATCCAACAAGTATTGCCTGAACCTCACGTTGGGACAAGCACTTCAAATCATACTAGCAATTACAATTTGTCAGAGACATTACTTAGCACCGCAATTATCTACATTTGGGATAATTTCGGAAAGATACATAAATGCAGAGCATTACTTGATGGAGGCTCACAATCTAATTTCATTACCAGAGATTTATGTCAAAAATTGTGCCTCAAAACACAGAGTACAAATCACATTATCACTGGCGTAAATTTATCGTCCAACAGAGTAAACGAAACAGTTCAGGTGCATCTTTCTTCATTATTTAAAGAGAGTTTGCATTATAACATAGATTGCTTGGTATTGAACAAAATTACACAAAACCTACCTCTAAACTCATTTTCTACGAAGGGTATGGTAATTCCAGATTTTGTAAATTTAGCTGACGCCAATTTTAACATTTGCGGAGAAATAGATATCTTATTAGGGGCAAAAATGTTTTTCCAAGTATTAAGAGATGGGAAAATCCAAATAGGCAACTCTCTTTATTTGCATAATACAGATTTGGGTTGGATTATTGCAGGATCCATAAACACTACTAATTTTATGAGCTTAAGTACGTGCAATACAAATACGCTGCAAGCTTTAAATGACCAAGTCTTAGATTTTTTTCAATTAGAGGGTCTTGCTGGAAGTCCTACTAACAAAATACTCTCCCCCGAGGAGAAATCTTGTGAAAAACAGTTTGTTGACAAACATAAACGTACCGATCGGGGAAATTTTGTAGTAGACCTCCCCTTCAAAAATAAGTCCATAATGTTGGGACATTCAGAAACAATGGCGCGAAATCGATTTTTCACATTAGAACGAAAGCTCTTAAAAACATAGAACTGAGACATCAGTACATCCAGTTCATGAGAGAGTATGAACAATTAGGCCATATGCAACTAGTGTCTGACATTAGCTCAGAAAATTCCTATTTTATTCCTCATCATGCAGTCATAAAAAATACGACACAAGGAAATAAACTTCGGGTAGTATTCGATGCATCCATGACAAGTTCTAACGGTCACAGTCTAAATGATAATCTATTAATCGGACCTAACTTGCAACAGGAATTATTTTTAATATTATTAAAGTTCAGAACGTACAAGTATGTTATTAGTGCGGACATTGAAAAGATGTATCGTCAAATTTTCTTAACTGAAAATCATCAACAATTTCAAAGAATATTTTGGCGTGAAAATGTAAGTGACCCTCTCCAAATTTATCAATTAAAAACAGTGACGTACGGGACAGCGTCAGCGCCATATCTTGCGATGCGGTGCTTAAAACAATTAGCACTAGAAAATATGAATGTACTACCTGTAGCTGCGTCAAATATTTTGAATAACTTTTATATGGATGACTTAATTTGTGGTTCAAGTACATTGGAAGAAGCGCTTGCACTTCGCGACGACATCATTCAGATCTTAAATCAAGGTAATTTCAAATTACACAAATGGGCTTCAAATGAACCAACATTATTACCAGAAACTGACATAAAGGCTTCTGTTAATTTTTCTAGCGACACTGATACAAAAACTTTAGGGTTAATTTGGAATTGCCACAAAGATCAACTGAAGTATAACTTAGCGTTAAACAGGCTACCCAGCAAAACTACAAAACGCACTATTTTGGCCACAGTGGCTACAATTTTCGATCCATTAGGTCTTATCACTCCAGTAATTTTAAAGGCTAAATTACTTCTGCAATCTTTATGGGCCGCGCAAATTGGTTGGGATGACCCAATTCCTAGTGATCTAGAATATCATTGGAACCAATTTCTGATTAATTTACCTGATGTCAAGAATATTGAAATCTCACGTCATATTTTTAGAAATGACACACCGAATATCGTTGAATTGCATGGCTTCGCAGATGCGAGTACTAAGGGTTTTGGAGCCGCCATTTATATTAAAACAATTTTATCAAGTACTGAAACACATACTCAATTATTATGTGCAAAAAGTAGAGTAGCCCCACTCAAAACTATATCGCTGCCTAGATTGGAGCTTTCAGCAGCTTTACTATTAGCGCGATTAATAAGTAAAATTCTGCCTGAACTAAATTTAAAAATTAATAAGTGTTTTTTGTGGACCGATTCAACAATCGTGTTAAACTGGATTGCGGCTTCACCACATAATTGGCAAACTTTCGTGGCGAATAGGGTGTCAGAAATTCAAACTTTAACATCCGGTCATAATTGGCGCCACATAAATGGTGCCGATAACCCTGCAGATCTGATTACTAGAGGTTTATTTCCTAAACAACTCATTGATTGCAAATTGTGGTGGTTTGGTCCCGAATGGCTCTCAAAACCACCTACGGACTGGCCACAGACAATCATCGACTTAGGAACTGAAGTTCCAGAAAGACAAAAAACATTAATTACTTCCATCTGTACTACTTTTAAATCGGATTTATTAATCAGATTTTCAAATTTTACCAAGCTTAAAAGAACTGTTGCATGGATCAAGCGTTTTGTAAGTAACTGTAGAAACAAAAGACTTAACAAAGAATTAAAGTCGGGTTTACTAACCATAGAAGAATTGGACGATGCCAACCGCGTAATTATAACGTTAGTTCAACGTGAATCTTTTCAAAAAGAAATTGCTATTTTAAAATCGGGTAAAGAATTGCCAACAAACAACTCGTTACTCTGCTTAAGTCCGTTTTTAGACTCTAATAACATTTTAAGAGTCGGTGGTAAATTACGTAATGCCGTTCTTGCTTATGACAGAAAGCATCAGATTATTTTGCCAAAGAAACATTACTTCACGGAGCTATTAATTCGTCAATATCATGTCGCTCACTTACATGCGGGGGCCCAGGCCACACTAACCGCGTTGAGACAAATTTATTGGCCCATCGCTGGACGGGATGCAGTCAGATTCATCCTCAGAAAATGTATTAATTGTTTTAAAGTAAAACCCAAAATTAATTCTGAAAAAATGGGCGATCTACCGGCGGTGCGTCTGCAACAGTACCGGCCTTTTTTAAAATGCGGTGTCGATCTTTGTGGTCCGATCATCATAAAGGATGGCCGTGGTAGAAAACCGAAACACGTTAAAGTGTACATAGCGTTATTTGTTTGCCTCAGCACCAAAGCCGTGCATCTGGAACTTATTTCTGATCTTTCAACCGAAGGTTTTTTAAATGCGCTAAGACGATTTATTTCGCGACGTGGTACTGTTAGTGAAATTTATTCAGATAATGCTACCAATTTCGTAGGCAGCGACCGAAAACTAAAGCAAATCTTTAGAAATGCTTTAAACAAAGAAACATTAAAGTCAAATTTGGCAAACATGAAAGTAAAATGGTGTTTTATTCCCCCCAAAACGCCCAACTTTGGAGGAATTTGGGAAGCCAATATCAAATCGGCAAAATTACATTTAAAAAAGACAATTGGTGATACAATTTTGAATTATGAGGAAATGCACACACTACTTGTCAGAATTGAGGCTTGTCTTAATTCGCGCCCACTGCTCCCCTTGACCAATGATCCAAACGATCTTTATCCTCTAACACCTGGCCACTTTTTGATTGGGGCTCCGTTAACTGCCCCCGTAGAAGAAGATCTCGAGTCTACAAAGCTAAACCGGCTAACACGGTGGCAGCATGTCGAAAAAATGCGGCAACATTTTTGGCGAAGGTGGCAGAGAGAATATGTGTCGCAACTACAACAGAGGTCCAAGTGGCGAGTTAAGGGGCCCTCTTCCGTGAAACCGGGCATTTTAGTCCTCCTTGTGGAAGATGACGCACCACCTCTTCACTGGCCGCTTGGCCGGGTCCAGGATGTCCACCCAGGAAAGGACGGCGTCGTCCGCGTAGTGACGGTAAAAACTTCAAAGGGTGTCTACAAACGCGATGTGTCCAAAGTGTGTGCGCTGCCAATAGATGGCCAATAAAAATACTGTACCCGCGAAATGTCAAAGTGCTATTGTGTAGTGAAGTGCGTATGATAACGACCTTTGTGGCTCTTGCGCTGTGCGTACTCACCCAGACTTGCATTTTTATGTGTTTAAATTTACGTTTCTGGATTTTGTACACTTCATGTTATGTTCAAGTTTATGTTTGCCTCTTAATTTGTACATATGTTGTTGGATTCAAATGGATGCTTATTTTTACGTATATTATTTGACGTGTTGTTAGTACTCAAATTCAATTTCTTTAGCGCATTCCAATCAATGTCATTTCTTGTGTATTTAAAATATGGTACTGTCTGATATGCACTACAGGTTTTGTATGGTTTGTCATCAATCTGTGTGTGTTCTTATTTTTATATTGCTAGTCTAAAATGTACAATTGTAGTGTGAATTGTATGCCTAGAGGCATTCAAGGGCGGCGGCATGTTGCGTGTGCTACAATGTCGTCGGTACGCCTATGTCTTTAGTACGCCTATGTCGTCGGTGTGTCAAAGAAATGTTGCAGCTGCAGGTCTGCAGCCACCCCTTTGACCCGGTTGACCCGTAAAAAATCATTGGGTTTCGATTCGGGGGCGACTTCTTATGTTACACCGACACAGTTGGTTTTTAAGTCAGTCGCTATTAAGTTTTGTCCGGAACATCTAGCACACGGGTGCGCTGATGTAATAATCAATTTTCAATAAAACTGTGTGCCATACACAATTGTTTATAATCTCCCCTCACCGCTACACACCAGACACCATCCAAGGCTGTAAGATCTACATATGAAGACAATTTTGAGTCGTATTGAATATAACGGATCTTTATCTGTTTTCCTATTAATAATAATTAATTAAGAAATTAGCACTTTTCTGGGTTCTTTTTGAAATTCAAATCACATTAAGTTTGAGCTTCCTATTATTAATTTAAACTTTCTCTCAAAAGGTTTTTTTTTACGTTAGGTTTCTCAGAAATTAAAAATGTCTCTAATTTTCTTTAAAATATATATTAAGATTTTGTTTCCTATGAATTTTTAATTTTCTCTTCTGGACACCACTTTGTATTTTTTGACTGATGATGAAAGTTTAATTATACCTACCTCAAAGAACTCACAACCAACATATAGGTAGTATGTACTGAATGAACCAAGTTAACAGCAAAAATGACGTGTAAAAACACACCTTAAAATGAGAGACTGGACGAAAAAATGCCGAACTTATGCATTCTTACATAGTGGCAACTGATTATTATTATTATCTAACAGTAATAAACATGAACTCAAATTATCGCAATTCACGTATGTATAACAAATACTCCTATGTATATTCGTAATTTATATATTTTTTAAATTTAAATATTAATAAATTAATTCATAATTAACAATAAAATAATAAAAAAATAAATTAAAATAACTAAATTAAATTTAAATAATAAAATAATTTTTTGAAGTGATTCGTTAGGGACCCTGAGCTTTTAGGGCGATCGCCGGGTAGCCGGGCGAGCCAGTCCGACGCTGTTTGATCCCTAGTCTGTTTCTTTTAAGGATTTCTCCCAATGTATTGAAATTTTGTATCAACAATCCTCGTTTTGATAAATAAGCAAATGTCGAGTTTTGACTTGACTGGAGTATTTTTAACCCCTATTCTCCTAATAGGCGGAAATTTTGCATTAATAATCCCCGATTTGAAAAACTAGCGAATGTCAAATTTTGACTTGATTCCAGTATTTTTAGGCTCCAGTCTGGAAGTTTGTTGTGGGGGTAGTTTTTAACGGTTTCTCTGAACGGATTGAAATTTTGAATCAACAATCTTGGTATTGAGAAATAAGCAAATATCGAGTTTTAACTTGATTGAAGCACTTTTAACCCCCAGTCTGCAAGGTTGTTTTGGGGGTTTCTCTGAATGGGGTGAAATTTTGCATCAATAATTCTCGTTGTAAGGATCCAATTCGAATTTTTAAATTTCAAATGAATTTCGCGCGCGCAAGAAACAGTTGGTGAGAAGAAGAAAAGAAGGTGGCAATCAACCACACCAAGAAAGAGAGGCATGCGCAAATGTTAGGGTGGTTTTGTCTCGTGTAAAATCGGTCACTTCCTTTTCATCGAGAGAACGCACCACTTCCTTCGAGCGCTTCGAGCAACAGGTTGTATTTTTGATTGTGAGTTATTCTGTGCCTTTTGCTGTTGTTTTTGCGTTTCCAGTGTTGATCCGTTCCATTGGAAAACCTAGCAGCCCCCGTTGAGCCATTGGGTGTTCCTGATTTCTCATCGTTCTTACGACGAGGTTTTTGTGTTCCTTTTGGCGGTAAGCCGTGTCGAAATCTTCGCATCTTTGGAGAGGTATGTTTTGACCACGTTTTGGACTGGATCCTGTTTCGCCGCGAGTTTTCAAGTCCCGACGATACTTCTGACCTCGTGACACAGCGACGCGTGCGCTTTTTTTCACTAATCTCGTTTTTTTATCTTTCACTTAAAATCCATCGCAGTAGGGCTTTACAGGAAGTGATTTTTAGTTCGGGCCATGCTTTATTTAGCTATATTTGTGAAATCTGTATTTTGGATGGCGGCAAACGAGTTGTTATTCTCACCGTACTTTGTTCAGGCAGCGGCCATTTTGAAGCGTCCATTTGTTTCTTTTAATCGAGCACATGTTTTAACTGAATCTATTGAACAAAATAACAACATTGTGGGTCATGGGGGGACGTGCCTTTATTCTTTGATTTAGCACATTGTTTATACAACGCCACAGGATTCATCGTATTTTTGCATCGCACATTTTCGACGCCTATTATTTGGAATGACGAATTCGTCCAACGCCATTTTGCAACTGCCGCTTGTCTGCCATGTTTGTTTATGTGTTTTGTTTGGGGAAATGTATGTGTAATAATGGCCCACAATGCAGCTAAATAATTTCACGTTTTGAATTTTAACCAATAACTTGACTGGACACGAATTAATATTAATCACATGTAAATCTGTTAACTTTACAATCTTTCACCTCATGCAATTTGTCTTTGTCTCACAATTTTAGCTTCAGTAATTTTCTTTGCTGTATAATTTGAATTGAACGTAAATTTCCATGCTCTGCAGTTCTGACCTAACATGATATTTAATTTGTACAAGCTTATTTCACACCAGATCTTTGTTTTATAAATCTTTGCTAAGTTTTGATCATGTAAATGGTTTGTTGATGAATGTTTCTCTCATATAAATTATCTGATGTCCAAATTTAATCTCAATTAAGAATTATTTGTTGTTGAATTTTCGTAAGAGTGTGTGGCGAATTTAAATGTTGTGTATTGCTCTTTGTTGAAACTTTAACGCTTGTTCGGTTGTCATTTAATGTTAGAGTCATAGAGTTTGAACATTTAAATAGAATTGAAGGTAAATAACACATAACTCGTAGTGTACGTGGGGCGCGCAACTCCTTCTCAAACTGACGGGATTAATCGCGTCACCTGCACAAGTCCGCGGGTTTTGTATAGCTTCAGGGGGCGATCGCGGGTTTTTAACGCTGCCGGTTTCGTGATAGCCGGGACCCCACTACGGATCTGCGATCGTAACCGCCTCGTTTCGCAGGGCACGTTCGTAATGGAGAGATGCGTGTGAGCAGGCGTTGGTGTAGATAGAATCACCGTCGTGGGGGAGAACAGTGACGATCAGGAGTCCCAACCTCCACTTGCGTTACAACGCCCCCTCTGGGTATTTTGCTGTGCTCGTAAATGAAATTGATATATTTTGTTCTATGTTTTGTTCGATCGCCACACTCTCATAATGATTCGGGTTCTGCCATCCAATTTACATATGTGTAGGTCTTGTGTTTGTTCGGTTTTCATATGTGTATGTCTGTCAATTCGCGAGTGTTTTTCTTTCACATATCTTAAGGTGTTTGACATGTAATGTGTCGGTGAATAAAACCCCAGGGGGTTTTGGGGAATGAAGACCGATGACACTTTGGCCCTGCGGACTCGCCAGGAGGGCAAATTGAGCCTCTGTCGTCGTTCTTCGTTTCTTTTTCCCCCTTAGGAAGGCTTTTGACCAACCTAATTTTGTCTATTATTTCTGGCGCTCTCGACCGTGTATGCACTTGTATGAAAGAACTTCTTCCCGCCATTTTTCAAAACCACAAAAAAAAAACACACAACGTAGGTTCTCATTTGTTAGACGATCACAGCCAAGGCCAAACTTTGAATTTTTGAGTTTTTCGCGGGCCTTTCAAACTGTTTCAAGGTCAAATTTTAAGGCGGGAAGTTTGGGTTATCACATCGTATTGAAAAATTGAGCGGATGTCAAATTTTGAGGTAATTAGAGTATTTTTAAGCCCTAGTCTGCAAGGATGTTTTAGGGGTAGTTTTTAACGGTTTCTCCGAACGGGTTGAAATTTTGTATTAACAATCTTCGTATTGATAAATAAGCAAATCTCGAGTTTTGACTTGATTGGAGTATTTTTAACACCCAGTCTGCAAATCTGTTTTAAGGGTGGTTTTTAGGGGTTTCTCCCAACGGGTTGAAATTTTGTATCAACAATCGTCGTATTGAGAAATAAGCAAATGTCGAGTTTTAACTTGATTGGAGCATTTTTAACCCCCAGTCTGCAAGATAAACTGTGGTCTGCAAATTAGAAACGCCTCATTACTATATAATTTGAAACTTTTTCGTCAGAAAATATCACATTATTCCACATATTTGCAGGTTCATTGACAAATTCCTGAGCAGCAAATAATACCCTATTTGCCTTGTTTTGCTCAGTTAAAAATATTTTATTGGCAGTTTCGTGGACTCTCTTCCGGGCTGTTTTCAGTGACGCAGGGAAATTGGTTTGCTGCTTAACCACTGTTTCGAAAGCATATTCGCGAATGAAATTTGCCAATTGAATGTTTTCGTCTGCGGTTGTTTTTTTTTTTTTTTTGGACAACCCGACCCCGCTCTTCTGATAATTCTTAATTCTACCAAGTAATTTTTAAGCTAGTAGGACAGTATTCTTGTTGATATACAGCTCAGTTGCCATTGCTCTAATTGAGACCCTATCCCTTAAACGTTGCGCAATAGTTTGCTTTTGAACTTCTTTCAAACTTGGCATTTTTGAATTGACACTTGACATTAATCAAAGTGACATTTTTTAAATTTCATTTTGAATTACATTTTAAAGAGCTGTTTACAATGCAAAAATTTTCAGTGTCCCAGTTTTTTATTTCCACTGATGGTACATCCGAGAATGTTCCAAAATTGCAGTCATAGACACATAAAACATAACAGAAAATCAGCATAAAATCGCATTTCCCCTTTCGAATCCACGACGACATTTATTTCGCTGATTATTTCCAAAGCGACTCAATATTTAAAATCTAAATCTTGAATACTGCTCATTACTGTGTTAGAATTTCAAATGAGAATATATTTAAATTTAAATAATAATTTAAGAAGAACCATCCGTCACCTGAGACATATCACAATCTAGAATATTATAAAATATTGCATCGAAACATTTCTGGTATAATATTGATGTCTTTTTTTATACAAAAAAATAAAATGTGTAATTTATAGAGATTTTGTGAAATTAGATAACGATTTTATCGCTTTTAACAAGTCCGAGCGCGTTCCGGGAAATCCAGCAGCTGCCCAACTTTAGTTACACATGGAGGTAACGATAGTGCCCCCTGTCTACTGCCAATTTGTCCTTCGGTTAAATTTTACAAATAAATGAACGTATAATCACAAAGAAAAACGTTCCAAACGATTTAAATAAAATGTCTTGATTCCACGTGCTATTTGAAATTTTTGAGATAAGGACCCCCGGGTCGCCCCTGTTGGCATGACGGTCATTATTTTCTTACTAAATTATATGCCCTTAAAGATAAAAGTTGACCAGCCCGAACAGTTTTATAAAAAATCTACAACATGAATTTCGAGAATTTTATAACCATGTCATGTGACGAAAACAATGCGTTCAACCTTTAAGTATTTGCACACAGATGTCGCCTAAATTACAACAATATTATCAGATTTCTGCAACTCATTCGCTTTAAATTTATTAAAAACCTCAACAAACTCTCCAAATTAACAAAGCAATTTCTCAATATTAATCAGCCAGAAGCAAAAACCCACATTTCCGGAAAACAGCGTCGCATCGAGTATCAATCGGTAACGCCATTTTGTTCTCATACCGACAGAACAGTGCAAGCCAGTTCGGTAAGTCTATACATTTTATTACCGATTGTACACAAATTGAAATTTTGCGAAAAGTTTTCGTGAAAATCACTTTCCAAACAATTCCCGAAAACTTTGTACTCCTTAAATGTTACTTCTAACCTAGAAAAATGTCACCACGCATTCACAACTCTAGCGAATTTTTTCTAGCGTTCCTGTACGAAAAATGTCTCAAAATAACCTAAACTTGGACGAGAATGAGATTCATTACGTTTACGATAAGCAGGAATATATTTTAGGGGGCGAAGACATTAATTCGGAGCTTAGAGATGTAAGGGTTTGCTTGGTGAACAACATAAAGTGTCATAGCCTGTTTTAGCTGATTTGTAGCGATGGTTCTAAGACGATTTTAGTTGATAAGGATGGCCAGTATATCATTGCAGATAATCAAGCGGTTCTTCTCCAGGAAGGGGACACAAATTTAACACAATATTATATTAATGACAACTCGGAAGGATTTGTGGTAGATGGGGAAGAGACTTCAGGAAATACATTGTTCGAAAGCACAGAGTGTATACAGTTAGTGGAGGAGGACACAAACGAAGTCCCACAAATTATCTACTACTCTAATGATGATTCAAATGCTGAAGAGTATACATCTGTGCAAGAATATGGTGAAGACGGCGTCGTGGGAGTTCAAGATGAAGAAGGAAACATTTATCCTTTTAAAAGGATAAGATTAGAAGGGCAGTTGCTAAATTTTGAAGATTTTGTGCAACAGGCAAACTTGACAGAACAGACAAATAAAACTGACAGGTAAATTTTTATTACGTCAAAGTCAGCAGGGTTGTGGAGTATTGTTGGTTGCATAACTTGAAACACTAAATTTGTAGAAATTTTGTTTAAAATAAAAGCAAGCCTGACATTTTTGATCAAACAACTCCGTCGTATTTTTCAGTATATCAAAATGTATCAAGGCTTATAACATGATTTGAATAATTTTAGTTTGGAGTATGCGATTTTGGAAGATGCAAATCACCTTCAATCTGAGTCATATGAAACTTCAACCATTGAGAACTCAGAAAAGTCCAATCAGAGTATCGATTTATCAAAAATTACAGGTCGTAATTTAATCACGGGGCAAACTGTAACGCTTCATAGTTACATGGAGAAGTTGAAAAAGCGTCTAAACAAAACAAACAGTTCTCATATGACGCGAAAGTCACCGAAAAAAATCTACAACGATTCGAATATTCCTTTAAAAAAAACCTACGAATATGAATCAAAAAAACCAGAACTGAGCGACTTGTTGGATAAGAAGATTTCCATAGGGACAACGAAAAGCGGAAAGAGAATCGTGGGCAAGATTATCCACGTCGAGAAAAGAGGGAAAAAGGAAGAAGAGGAAAACAATTTGGTTATTAATGACCAGATTGCTGAAACTCCTAGAGAAGAAATTGAGGAAGAAGTGGTGCGAAATGACGATCCAATGAAGATTTTAGTCAAGAAGTGTACAGTGTCAATAGAAAGTTTTGAGCAAATTTCAAAAACGTTAGGCGGCGTGATGGAAATGGAATCTGTGCGGAAGAAGTTAGAGAATAAGAACATCGTGGTTAAACTCGTAGAGAAAAAATACGTTAGCGAAAGTGACTCCTATGTTAAAAACACTTCCTATAGTTATGGCTATATGGAGCAAGAATTCAGCCAAGATGCTAACGACGAAATCATAGAAAAGTGGAAATTCGTGCCAGATCAAGATACACAGGATGTGCTTTTGGGTCAACATTTTAACGAAGAAGAATTGGAGAAAAAAACAACGTGCGTATGACTCGCTGCGCTCGCCTTTTTTACTTTTTTTTTCTTGTAGGAAATTTCCGGTTACGACAAGCCTTACGATCTTAGTTACGCATGAAAAAGCCGGCAATAAAACCATCCGTGTCAATTTAAACCCCGCCCCTGGTAATCTGTGCACCATTTGTGCGCAGTACTTCAAAACTAACCTTCAACTGCGGTACCACATGCAGGAGGTACACAACACATACGGGAACAACAACACGTGCGAAATTTGCGAGAAGACTTTTGATAACATGCAAAAATTGACTGAACATCGTAATATTCACGTCCAAGAAGGCAAACTCTTTGTTTGTCTTAAATGCAATAAGTCTTTTGGTTCTAGAACGAGACTCCAGAAGCATATGCCTACACATGATGTATATTTGCGACCTCTGGAGTGTTCTGTGTGTGAGGTCAGATGTGCTAGCGAGTGGGCGCTGAAGAAACATCTGCTCACTCATGCTGGTATTAAACCATATTCCTGTGATATATGTACTAAGCAGTTTATGACGCAGTATGACGTGAATTTTCACAAGAAGGTGCACTTTCCAGAGAAGCATTTCGCTTGTAATGTATGTATGAGGACGTTTTCAAGGCATTCAAATTTGTTGAGGCATATGGAGATACACAAGGGAACGGGGGCGTTGTACAAGTAAGTGGATGGGTGAAAAATAGGGGATGAGGTACTGAAGGTGTTTGTTTTAGGTGCGAAATTTGCTATTGTTCTTTTAATTACATTTCATCGTTGACGAGGCACATGGTTCAGAATCATATCGATGCGGGGGATTTTCGGAAAGATGTCGAAAAGGCGTGATCTTTAAGAAACTATTTTTTTGTATATTTTATTTAAATTTACATTTTCATTGTTCTATAAACACCATAGAGTAAAACAAAGTGGCACAAGTGTAGTAAGGCACTTGAAACGTGGGTACTGGGGTACACATTCCAACAATATTCCAAAACACCCAATAATAAAAACATGACTGGTTTTCTGAAACCGGTACAAAACACTAAATACAATAAACTATGAAAATACCAACTGTAAAACTGGTAGTGTAAAGACCTGGCAAAAACAATCCCAATCAAATTTGTTGCAAAAAATGGTAAAACAAACAGCTGTGCTACTTTGCTCATCTTATCTTCAAGTTTCGACTCGTCTTCATAAACGTCATCAATTGTTTCCTCTCTGGTCTTGACACCTTTCAACTGCTTTTCAAAACCATCCAAAAAAATCTTCTCTTTTTTACTTAATTTTTCGTTCTCTTTCTTTTTCTTTTCTTCTCTCTTGCGACGTTCTTCTTTCATTTGTGCTTTAACTTGTTTAGTGACAACCTTCAACTTAGCGTAACTACTTAAATACCGTCTTAAGTGAGGAGCAAATGCTAGCAGGGTCAAAATGTGTAACGTTAGTAATGAAAGATGTAAAAGTCTGTTTTCAAAAACCTCCCTGGGAAGGAACCTGTAGTTTACAGTCCATTTGTGTTCAAAAATGCGTCCAAGGTCGAAACTACCCCTAATGTAGGAGTAAGGGTTAGTTAAAAGGAACGGAGCTCCGAGAAGAATTTGGAGCACCCCACAAACCACCAGGTTAATAGCAGTTTGTACAAGAGTCAGATTCGTTAAGTAAGCAATGAGCAAACATGGCGCGTACAAAAGAATGTTCATTTTGACTGATACAGCCAATGAGTAGAAGACACTCCCCAAAATCCACCAATCAGAAATGAACAAATTTAAGCTAACGTAAAACAACAGAACAGCGATTGGATCATTGAAGAGTCTCAGTACAAAAATTGAATGTATCCGGTATGATGTTACAGTCGCTAGAATTAAAGCATATGGGGGTATTTTTGATGTCTTTCGCAAAATTCTGTACACTAGTAAGGCTTGCGCCAAATACAGACCAAGAAAGATGTACTGAGCAACGTATATATTCGTCCCATGGGATGTTATTTTATAAAGAAACGAATAGATATAAACGAAGCCCGCAGGGTACACGAGAGGGCCCGTGTCTCCTAAAAAAAAATATTACAAGTGTTCTTGGGGGTGTGGTCACGTACCTCGTAGGTCTTTGTAGTCCCAGGTACCGTTCAGAAAACCTTCAACTTCTTGCATATATGCCTTCCAGTCAATTTCGGTGTAGTTCACTCTTTCGATGATGAAGATGTTTAAGACAATTTCAAAGAGGAACAGAAGACAGCACGTTAAAGTTATATGGTGAGGGTCGTAGAAGTACTTCTTCACAATCTCCATTTTTGGGGTTGTGCTAGTTTGGTTTAACCCGGGTTTGGGCAACTTATTTTTAGTCGGAGCCATTGGAGAGGTGTCTTGATAAACATTATTTGAGGTTAGGTTATCGGCGACTTGGCTGGCGGTGATTTGACGGATGACAAGTACGGCAACTTAATTGGTTTAGAATTAATTTATTAAAAAAGGGAAAGGGAATCTTTTCTTTTCTACGAAGGGAATTTGAGATTCTTGACAAGGTGGGAGGGAGCATCGATGTAAAATTTTATTTATTGTTAGACCAGAGAACATAGTTAGACAGCGGATTTCTGTCGGGCTACGTCACGATTTTAGTGGGGACGCGCTGCATCGCCGGGACTCAGTAGCGGGTCATAGGTAATCACTGAGTTTAATTGTCACTTGATTCCATAAATACAATTAACGATTTATTAATCAAACGGCTAACTAAATGAGAACTGGAATTAACAGCAGAGTGCAACGAAGCAGCGTTATTCTAATCTCAAATAAACGAAGTGCAGCCGGTAACTGCAATGAATTCCCCTCCCGTACGAGCCGTACCGAGTTTGGCCTTGTCTAGCCCGACAGAAATCCGCTCTCTATTTATTGTATATAGAATTAAAAACGAAAGCAAATCATTGTTAAAGTGTATTATTGAAAAAAATTATAACCAATCTATATTATCTAAAATCCCTAATAAGAAACACCAACATATGACGAACATAACCTCAAAATCTCAAAATCACGCTCAAAATGGCTGCAAAGGAGGTTAAGTTCTGTGAGGAGCTTGGTAAATCCCTTCAAATGAACAATTTTAGTTCGTAATTCTTTTCATTGTTCTAGAAAGTGAAAGTGAGAGTAAAATGTTTGGACCTCTTAATTTCGACGAAGTTGGCACCCACAGCCCCCAGGTTACGTACTCAGAAGTGGTTTGCCTCCTTTGTGACAATATTTTCAACATTCCGTTAAGTTTCGAAATATTCGTGCGGCATTTATTCGAAGTACATAATTTACTGATAGAAGATGTTCAAACAATGGATAATTTGCCCGAGTAATAAGTCATTTTGAAAAAGTGGGGTTATGTAATTTTTTTTTTTTTTTTTTAGATATATTCGGTACTGGCGCGATAAATTCAAGCAAACACCAATCGAAGAGATCGTTCCGGCAATTAGAATCGATTCATCCCATAGATTATTTTTTATGCTTTCAACTCTACTCGAAGATGATAAGAAATTGAGACATCGCTTGAAATTAGAGCACGTCCTAAAAGTACAGGAGTTTGAGCGCACTGATACGAGTTACACCAGAATGTGCCTTTTTTGCAAACTTGATTTTGAAGGTAAACGCAATTTTCGACTTGTGTGGATCAAGTAATTGGGAGTTGTAGGCAAAAGGGTTGATTTCATTGCACATCTAGAAAACCACCACAATATGCAGTTGGGAAATCCACAGAACTTGGTGTACATCGAAGAGTTGGTGGAAAAAATTGCAGAAACGGTGGATAAGCTCATTTGTATGTTTTGCAACCGACTTTTTCCAGAGAGGATGGTTTTGAAGGAGCACATGAGGAAGAAATTGCATAAGCGGATTAACAGACGCAATTCAGATTATGATAAATTTTTTATTGTCAATTATTTAGAGTCTGATGAGAAAGCAAAAAATGTAAATAGAGAGAAGGACGAGGTTTACACAAGTGAAGACAGTCTCAATGATGATGAAGAGTATTATGATTGGAATGAGAAAGAAGACGTAATCATCTGTTTATTTTGTGATAAACGCGAAACTGATATTAATATTTTGTGTTTACATATGGAAGCAGATCACGGTTTTGATTTTGCAGAGTGTATGAAAGAGTTTGATTTTTATCAGAAAGTCAAATTTGTGAATTATGTGCGTAGGCAGATGCACCGTAAAAGGTGTTTGTATTGTGACGTTGCGTTTACGGCTGTAAGAAGTTTGCAGAGCCATTTAATTGAGGAAGAGCACTGTAAGATTCCAGACATTAAAGTTTTTGATCAACCAGAGTATGTTTAAGTACGTTATTGATTGTCGCTATTATTTAAAATTTGTATTTCAGGTTTTACTTCCCTACATATGAAAATGATGCCTTTCTTTATTTAATAGATGATGTTGAAGACTGAGTGTTTGTTTCATTAGTTTTGTTTACAATAAAATGCATTTAAAGTTTGCGATTTTTTTTCAACTAAAATCATTTCGCCTAATTTTGGTATTCATCAGCATCACGGTCGGTCTGCCACTTTCACCAGTGGCGTATCATTTGCATCCTGAAATGGGACAATCTAAAAAATATATAAATATTTAATTTCCTATTGGGCATGCGCGACAAAAAAAAAACATTGGCATTGAACATAAAATTTAACCCAACTTTTGATATTTCCTGAAATAAAATTGTTGCGCTTTGGTGTTTTTCTGACATTTTACAAAGGCAAACATTTTAAGTCTCTAACCGTGCACTAAACTGTATTAAAATCATCCAATAGGTACTGATCGAACTGATAACCTGAAATTAGAATAACGGTAAAAAGAGTTTTTGAAAAATGAAAGTAATACAGAGAGTATAAGATGTCTGTTGACTTTTGGTAAGCCGTACGCCGAAAATCGAATTTTCATTTTGGTAGTTTTGAAGGCCAGAGTTTTTACCTACAATTTATATATATTTATTATAAACAATCAATTGCTATCAAATTTACCTCTCTTCTGGCATTGTCTCCTAGGGGTTGCGTCAAAAGTCTGAACACCAGACTCGAAGTTTTTCCTTTCAAGTACTCGCAGCTGTGACAAACGTTCATGAGCACGAAGAGGCGGCAAATGTGGACTCCTATCCAGACAAAATAGACATAATTTAGCAAACTGATTTCGTTGCTACTCATCATTACGAAGAGAACATACGGGCAGACGACTAAATTGATGTAACAGCTCAGAATGATCAACTGAAAAATATCGATTTAGATGTTGTCACTTGTGTTTTGCCGTACCGTTGCGCTGTTTCCGAAACACGTGTTGAACTTTTCAATACATTCACAAATGCAGTCGTAAGCTGTAACAACATATGATATACTTTCGCAGCTAATATCTAAAATATCAAAATTTTAACTAGCGTTTTATCAACTTCATTTTCACCTTTTTCTTCTAAATCTTCTACGTAATTATTCATAGCAAGTACTCTGTAGTAGATCAGGTTAACCCAGTGCCAGTATAATACTTCGTGACTTATAGAAACAGTGAAAAGGATGTAGTACCCCATGTAATTATTCAAACCTCTCCAAGAGTTATTCCCCCACATGAACAAATCGAAAATGTACAAAACTATCATGAAACTCAAAACAAAACTTGTTACAAAAATTGACTTTCTACGTATCTTTCGTACGAAAATCGGGGTTATCATATTATCAATTTTATCAAAATTTATCAAAATGGTTCGGATATTCTTCGACTTGCCTTTGGTAGAGATGACGAAATAGAAACCGCTGGCGATAATTTCACTTACTTCGAACGAAGTAATGAAAAAGTCAACAGTACCTCTGAAACCTAGAGTCAAAAAAGAGGCTGTTGTCATGTCATCGACGAAACCCCAAATACCCCAGATTGCTGAAATTTCCATGTAACATTTTGATAATAGTTATCTTATCAATTTTACCAACAAGTGTGGCTGCTAGAAAACTGAAGGTATAGAGTGTTACAGACCACGTTATTTTGTAATTATCGTAAGTTACAGGGAAGATACCCATAATTCTAAATATTTTTAACGTCGGCGTTATTGTTTTTAAGAGCTTCTCGTTGATCGTGAGTTCTTGATGCACCATGTTGATAATGAAGTGAAAATAACGTGACAATTCTCTTATAAACGTTTGTGTAAATATTGATTACCAGGAAATTCCACGGAGGATGGTCGTGCTATTTGTAAGAATATATACCGTTATTTAGTGTTTGCTCATTATTTATAAATGAGTACAGTGCAAAACAGTCATTACTAATATTTGTTTTTCCGTCACTGAGAATAATATTTATTGCTCGCGATTGTACGGAACATGTACCTACCAATTACACTTTTATTTTATTTTTGTATATATACTAAATATAAATAAATTGGTTTTAAATGAGACTCTTTAATTGAATAAAGCATTTTTTAACTAGTTGATAATAAATACTATTTATACATATTTATTCATATTGCAGTGGTATTATACATACACAGTGATTCTGGAAATTGAGACTAGGAATAAGGCTGTGATAACCCAAACATCCCGCCTTAAATTGACATGTGAAAAAAATTGAAAGCCGACGAAAAATTCAAAAATTGTGTTTTTTTTGTGGCGGAATGCGTTCAGATGCAAGTGGTGGACCCCAAGGTTGACACAAAATTATTTATTCCTTCACTGACAAAAAAAAAGAAAAAAAAAGCTGCGACTAAGTTGTGCCGGTTGAAGACACCTCTTAATGCTCAGCTACAAAAAAAAAACTTGCCTAACTTGGAATGAAATCAAATTAAACGTTCTGAATGAATGCAAATATCGGAATATCACAAAGTTAAAAAAAAGAGACAAATCTGAAGTAAAGTAACTGGATGCAAATATACAAGTTATTACGTATTTGCAATTTTAAAATTATAGCAGTCAACAAGAGAACAAAATTTTAATAAAAAACTGTGCAGAACTCTATAAGAGTGTGACGATCGAACTATATGAATTACATTCTAGAGCACAACAAAATTACTCATAGGGGGCTTTGTAGCACAAGCGGAGTTTGGGGCTCCTGATCGTGACTGTCCTCCCCCCACGACGGTGATTCTAGCAAGCACTGCCGAACAGCACCCCTTCATTACAAGCATGAGCAGGCCGTTACGGTGGCAAACTCGTGATTGGGTCCCGGCTATTGGGTCAAGCCGACAGCGTCATGACATCCCGACCGTCCCTGACTTCCATTCAAAATCTCCGTCTTTTGTGCACATGCCATCCAATTGTAAATAAAACTGTACATATTTTTGTGAGGACGCTATTTTTCCTTTGTTTTCGACATGAGAATAAATTTATAGATAAAAAAATTGTTACCAATTATGCTAATATTAGAAGTAGTAAGAGTATTGCGATGCGTGTTTTGGCAAACAAAATGCAATAAAACATTTCAGTATTTCTGCGTTTCACTGTCTTTTCGTTTGTTTACCTAAATTCAAAATTAAATAATAGGTAGCATGAACTGGATGATATGAATAAAATTGGGAAATAATATTTCGTTTCGAATCAAAAATTGCGCTTCGTTTTAAATGTATTCTAAAAATTTGTGTTGTGCAAGAATTTATCATACCACTCATCAACTTGGCCCGTTTAAAGTTGGCGCGTCATGTTGGAGTTAAAATGGCGGAGGTTCGCGGAACTCTCTCTGCAGGAACCGTACGCCTGCTCGACTAGGAACCGCGCTCTCCGCTTCTGCCACGTGTTTCGGTGTTATTTAACCTCGCTACAACTGAACAAATGTCAAATTTTCAAAAAGAGCAATAAACAACATTTAAATTCGCCATACACTCTCGTGAAATTTTAAACATCAAAGAATTCTTATCTGAGATTAAGATTGGACATCAGACAATTTATCTGATAGAAACATTAGGTACTTACCAAAATATTGTGCAGACAAAAAAATTACGTAAAATTAGAAACTGCAGAGCATGAAATTTACGTTCAATTTAAATTATACAGCAAAGAAAATTATTGAGGCTAAAATTGTGACATTGAGAAAAATTGCAAAGCTAACAAAATTATATAAGTTTAATATTTCATGTCCTTTCGAGTTATTGGTTAATTTTTAAAAGTGAAGTTATTCAGCTGCATTGTGGGCCATCATTTTACATTCCCCCAAACAAACACAAAAAACATAGCAGGCAATCTAGACATTCAAAATGACGTCGGATGAATGCGTCGTTCCAAAAAAAAACGTCAGAAATATGTCTCCCAAAAATACGATCAGTCCCGTGGTGCTGTGCAAATAATGATCTAAATCAAAGGAATAATGTTATTAATTTGTTCAATAAGATTTTACAGTTCAAACATGTGCTCGGTTTGAAAATACGCTTTTAACATGGCCGCTGCCAGAACAAAGAATTTTCCCGAAGTTAAATTACGCCACACTTTATCAACGATTCAAACAAGGAATTTACATTATATTAAATTATGCCACAGTTTATCAACGATTCAAACAAAGAATTTTCATTATGTTAAATGATGCCTTGATCCAAGTGACTGGTTACTTAAAACCATTAGCTTTGAGAGTTTATATCGTGCCCTGTCCCCAGGTTATCCCAAACAAACACATGATGAATAAACACAAAGTGCATCCGGCGTTGCGAGAAAAGTTTGGTGATGTAATTTTCAACGTTGCGAGAAAAATGTCTCGGTGATATAGCTTTGTAGGTAAGCGAAGAAAAATGTTGCTGCCTCGGTGGGAATCGAACTCCACGCCCCCCGCTTGCCGGGCAGGTATCCTGACCACTAGACCACGAGGCCGCTTGTCTTTATTCGCTTATTACTACTTATTATTATTGTGTCGCCACAGCTTTCCACGTTGTGAGAAAAATGTGTCGGTGATGTGATGATGATAACAATAACTACCTGAAGGGAAAAATTTATAATCCCTCCGTACCTCAGTCCACGATATTATGAATTCTACCGTACTTTCACGGTGGGACAACGTGAGATTGATTTAACTATTGAACTATTAGCAATCTTGTGTGAGGAATTAAGAAGTGTTTAATGTAACATTTAACTATAAGCATCCAGAAACGTTATTCATAACTTGGTAAACAAACGATGAGTCCTGACTAAATGAATCTCATGAAATCTCCTAGCAAGTACGTTATCTAAACAAATTTCAGAACCGTTAAATGGTGTTAGAACTAGTTAACGATTACAATCCTAACATGAACTGTGAATTTACAAACAATAAAACAAATTTACATCCCGTGTTAGCGTCGGTCGAAAACTGGCATATTTCCGCTTGGAAAAACCGCAAGAATTAGCTAAGCGTGTTAGGGAAACTGTGGCATCGTCGTTACGATTAATTGTCCTTAAACAATGGCTCTCCTAACTTCTCTCTTCGCTCAACTAAACTTAACCTAGCTTCCTTACCGCATGATTCATTCACAGAATGCGACAAAGTCAGCTAACTTCTACTAACCC